CCCCCCCCCCCCCCCCCCCCCGCGCGCCGCAGTCTGCTGACGACTGGGTGGGCGCGGTGGGCGGGCGCGCCTTCCTGGGCGGCGACGCGCCCGACCTGGCTGACCTGGCGGTGTTTGGCGTCATACGCGCCGTGGTGGGTACAGACACGTTCAACGACCTCATGCAGGTGGGTGTGCGCTGCCGGGGCGGGGTGGGCCCTGGTGCGGTGTGGTGTGGGGCCGTCAGCGGCGGGTGGCGTGGCTCTGGCTGGGCGGGCGTGGCTGTTGGGCAAGGGCTTGGCTGCGGAGCGGCCTTCCTGCCCGGGGCCCGGCCCCCCGATTTGCCGCTGCGTGCGCTTGCCCGCCCTGAGCCGCCGTGTGCGCCGCCGCCGCCGCCGCTGCCGCAGAACTCCCAGATTGGCGGCTGGTACAGCCGAATGTTTGAGGCGGTGGGGCCCACGTCGCGCGTGCCCTGAGTGGCGGCACCGCAGCCTACCCGCCCGCCCCGTGAGCGCCTTGTTTGATGCCGCACCTGGACCCTTGTCCCTCCGTGACGCTGACACCGCGCTCTTGCGGCACGTTGCTTGCCTTCAATTGCGTATTTTGTTTGGGGAGGGGGCTGCCGTTGCGCCGCCGGGGCGGCGGCGCGAGGCTGAAGCTGCGGTCCCGCTGCCAGCAGCGGAGCAGCGGCAGTTACCCCGCCCCCCGCCAGTTCTCCTCAAAACAGGCCTCCATTTCGTTGCTTCTTGCTTCCTTCCTGAAGCCTGCTGTTTGTTTGCTGTTATTGACCACCAAGGCTTGCCGTCGGATGCGGGAGACGAGGAGGCTAAAGTGCTCCAGGGGGGCCTTTCAGGGACTGGCAGCTGAGGCTTTCGTGATTTTCCCCGTTTGCCCCCCACCCTTGGAAGTTGGGAGCCCACTGTGCATGGAATCCACTCTCTGAAGGAGCCCTCAGAGGGCAGCCCAGGCGCAGAGCACCAGCTTACCCCTGCCGCTGAGCCCCCACTGCCCCTGCCGAGCTCCCAGGGTTCTCAGCCGCATACTCGCGATGACGCTCTACCAGAAAATGAGACTTCTGCACGGACACGAAGACCATCCGCCACCCGCAAGCCCGGACAGCGGCCCCAACAAGGCCGCAGGCCATGACATCAGTCTGGCAGCATCAAGGTGAGGCAGTGTGCTCGTCCGCGACTCGCCTCCGCTAAAACAACACCGCGAGACGAGCTCACTGAAAGCGCTTTTGCAGGGTCGAGTTCGCAATCAAGGCGGTGCAGCAGGCGGCGACGGGGCAAGGCGCCGCCCGCTCGCCGCCGATGGTGCGGATCAGTGTGTCGGCTGGCTCTATGGCCACGCTGCACCACAGCAGAGCCGCAGCCACGGCAGCAGCAATCTTGCGGACGTCCAGCTGGCAGGCGGGGGGCGGCAAAGAGGCGTCCGCCCGCGCAGCGCAGTTCCGCGACAGCGCGGCCCTCAGCCCGCTGCCTGGCTACTGCAGCATGGCGCAGTTTGGGCCCACCACCGAGCTGTACAGGAGCACGTACGTAGTGGGACGTCGCAGCTGGGCTGGACGCAGCGGGAAGCGCATCATGCATCTTGCCATGCCAAGCTTTGCTGCCGCACATGCCTCCCGCTCGCTGCCCCCACCTGCACCGCCTCCCATCCTTCCCCGCACCCAACCCTTGCCTTGCGCAGCCAGTCGTGTGTGCTGCGCGCCTCCTGCCTGGCCGGCAGAGGCCAGGTCATCATCAAGCGCTACACCAAGGGCAAGATGAGCTCACGAGCCGCACACAAGATGCATCGCGAGGTGAGCGCCCGGCTGTGCCCGCCTGCTGGCCGACGGCGAGCGCCAGCCTGCCACCCCTTGCAAGCCGCCGCCGCCCGTGCCGCCGCTGGTCGTCCGTGCTGCCGCAGATCCAGCTCATGTACCGGCTGCGGGGCCAGGAGGGGGTGGCCCAGATCCTGGGCGACTTTGAGGATGGGCAGTACTTCTACATTGCCATGGTGGGTGGTGGGTGCTGTGGGTGTGGGTGTGGGTGTGGGTGTGGGTGTGGGTGTGGGTGTTTGTGGTGAGGCATGGCAATGGCAGCGGTGGCAGCGCTTGGTGCAGACACGCAGCAGCCGGGGGGCCAGGCTGAGACTGCTGTGCGTTGGACCGCACAGCGGCGGGCGATGCATGGTGGCCCCCGGCAACATCCTGCCCCCGCTGCGCCTGCCTGCCTGCCTGCCTGCCCCGCCCCGCAGGAGTTTTACGAGGGCGGCGACTCTGTACAAGCGGTCGCTGAAGCAAGCCAAGGAGATGCCGCTGGAGGAGCACTGGATCTGCACCAAGGTGGGCAGAGGGCGGGGTGGTGGTGGGTCGGGGGAGGAGAGGAGGGTTGGTGGCCGACCTGGTCGCTGAGCGGCTGTCGGCAGCGGCTGCATCAAGCCCTGTGTGAGAGCCTGCAGCTCTCCTCGCCCATCCAATCAAGCGCCCATGTCTGCTCATGCGCCCGCTGCGCTGCCCCCTCCCTGCCTCCACCGCCAGGTCATCGTCCCCCTGCTGCGCGTGCTGTGCGTGCTGCACGACCGCCACGGCATCGTGCACCGCGACATCAAGCCCGAAAACATCTTCCTCACAGACACGGGTGGGCTGCGGCGCGGCGCTGCTGCTGCCCCGCTGCCGCGCCCTGCCGCCTGCCTGCTTGCAGCGCTCCCCCGCTGGCCTCCCGGCACCAGCGCTCAGCGCTCACCTGCAGCCTGCTGCTGCGGACCGCCCCCTGCCCCCTGCAGACGAGCTGCGTCTGGGCGACCTGGGGCTGGCCATCCAGCAGCAGCAGGAGCTGCCCTTCCTGCGGGCCGGCACCCTGGACTACATGTCGCCAGAGGTACCGCCTGGCGTACCGCCTGTACTGCCTGTGGGGAGAACAAACACACAAACACAACACAGCCCCAGGCCTGGGTGGTGGTGGTGCGGTAGTAGCCCTCATCCACCCGCACGCCTCCTGCCCCGTCCCGCAGGTTCTGTGCAACCCGCTGTCCAGCCGCTTGGATGAGTCCCGCCACTACACAGCCGCAGACCTGCGCCGCATCGGCTTTGCGCCCTACAACGAAAAGGTGCGGCGCGGCGGCCGGAGCAGGGGGGCGGCAGATGTGGTCCTGCGCTGCGCGCCGCTGGGTATGCTGCGTGGCAGCGCAGCGCTGCGCTACGCTGTGGTCAGTGCTGTTGGCATCACACCCCCTTGCCCTGCCTGCCCTGCCCCGCCGCAGGTGGATGTGTGGGCAGTGGGTGTGCTGGTGTATGAGCTGATGAGCGGCGGCGCCACCCCTTTCTTCCACGACGAGCCGGAGACCACCCAGAAGCTCATCATGCGGGTGGGGCGGCGGTGGTGTGGCGCACGTGTGTGTGGCGCACGTGTGTGTGGTGTGCGCGGTGCCGAAGCCGTCGCTCCACCACCGCTGTGCAGCGCTTCGCTTGCCGCGCGCACCAAGCTTCCGTGCTGACACGCGTGCCTGCCTGCCCGCCGCTCCCCCTGCCCCCGCAGTGCGACCTGGCGTCGGTGCGCTTTGAGCGCCACCAGCTGCTCAGCCCCTGGGCCGACTTTGTGCGCACAGCGCTGCAGCGGGAGCCAGGGAGCCGCCCCTCGGCCGCCCAGCTGCTGCAGCACCGCTGGGTGCAGCAGCACCTGCAGGCCAGGCCGCGCCCGCCGCTGGCGCCGCCGCGCCGCCCCTCGCTGAGCCGCGTCGCCTCGCTGCCGGCAATGGCGCTGTTCAAAGCCGCCGCCGCCGCCGCCGTCTACTCCCCGCCCGACCCGCCAGCTCTGGCGCCTGCTGCTGAGCAGGCACCCACGCCCTGCCCAGCCCCAGCCCCGGCAGGCAAGGCGCTCCCCGTCGGCGGCGGCAGCGGCAACAGCAGTTGCGACGCTTCCGTCCTGGCGCCCTTCCCCAGCACTGGCACATCCAGCTCTGGGAGCGGCATCAACAGCAGCAGCAGCCTCAGCAGCTTCGCCTCCCTGCACTCCCTGGCAGAGGCTGCCGTCGCCGCTGCCGCATGCGGCGCGCCGCCGCCGCCGCCGCCGGTGACGACGACTGCAGACCTGTGCATGCTTCGCTCCAGCACCAGCTGCCTCACCCTCACTGCGCAGTCTGGCTGCCGGTGCAGCACCTGCCGCCTGGGCCTGGGCAGCAGCTGCCTGGAGTGCGGCGGCAGCGGCAGCGGGGATGGGGCTGGCGGCGGCGGCGGCTGCAGCGGGGAGGATTCCGAGATGCCCCTGGCAGCTGCGGAGCTCTCTGGCGCCGACCCCGGCAGCTTTGCCAGCCAGGCACCAGAGGTGCAGGAGCCTGGCGCAGCTGGCGAGAGCAGTCCAGGGCACCAGGGTGCAGGGCCGCCGCTGGGCCCTCTGTGGCCCTCGCCCTTTGCCTCCCAGCCGCCGGCTCCCCGAGTCCTCAGCCTGCCCTGCCTGCTGTCCCAGGACCAAGCTGGCGGCGTGGCGGCGGAGCCTTTGCAGGCCCGCCCACAGGTGCCGTCGCCGCTCGGCCCGCCGCCGCAGCGCCCCCAGCCGTCACGCGCATCCTGCGGCAGCCTGGGCTGGGCGCCTCCGCTGGACGGCGCCGGCGGCTCTGTGGCTGGCGGCGGCGGCGGCGGCGATGTGCGGCTGTCCCGGGCGGGGCACCGCAACCGTGTGGTGGCCTACATGCAGAAGCAGCGCATCAGCCTGCTCAAGACGCTGAGGATCACGCGCCGCTCGGTGGGCGGCAGCGGCGGCAGCGCCGACTCCGCGCGCAGCCGCAGCGGCGGCAGCACCGGCGCCGCCAGCAGCAGCGAGGATGGCTGCCAGCGCCACGCCTCGTGGTAGCGTGTCCCAGCGGGATGGGACAGCTGGCTGCCCCCAGCTGTCGCACCCAGCGGGCAACCCGGGAGACCGAGAGTTCATCCCGCAATCATCTTACATCTTCTTCAGCCCTTTCCATCACGCACCAAAACCCATTTTGCAATGAATGGAGGCTAAATGTGGACTCCTTTTCCTGGACAGTTTTTGTGTGGGCAACGTTGGAGCCAGCCCCCGCAAAGTGGTGGCCCCCTGCCCTGACCAGTAACCCGCCTGTGTGTGATCTGCTTATGAGCAATATATTGATCATTGAATAGATAGCCAAATATTCACTGATTGAAATCATTAAACACCCAAACTTTGAAGGGCGCAAGCACATCAGAAGGGGTGGCAGCAGCAAAGGGGCGGCCGCCGGTTTGCAGCGCCACATCAGCGGCGCTGCCAGCTCCCCCTGCCCTGCTCCAGCTCCTCTGGCGGCGCCACCCGCCTTGCGATACCGTGCCTGAACCTTTTACCCCCCTGCTCCCGCCCCGCCCGCCCACCCGCGCGCAGCTCGGTGGTGCGTGAGTTCCGCTGCGTGGCCACGCTGACGGCGGCGCAGCTGGTGACCAGCTGGATCCACGTCAGCCTGGCGCTGGGGGAGGCGCGCGACACGGCGGAGCGCCAGCTGGCCGCGGAGCAGAGGAAGAAGGGGGGCGGCAAGGTGGGGCTTGGGTTAGAGGGGAAGGGGCGCTGGAGGGGGCCGGGCCCTGCAGGTGTCTGCTAGCTGGCTGGATGGGAGGCTGGGAGGCTGGGAGGCAGTCGCACCCCTGGCTCCCCAGCCAGCAGGCGCTGCGAGCGCCACTCCCTGTGCCGGCTCTTCACAAACGCATTGATCAAGATTTGTGGTGGCTATTTCTTACATGGGAGTGTTCATTATCGATTCGGTAACGGCTGCCCAGAAGTTGGGGTCTGGCAAGTGCTCGCACACTGTGGCCAGGTCCTTGGCCCGCTGAACGGGGTCTCGGTCCCAAAAAACAAAGTGCCCCGCATGCCCACCCGCGTCAGAGGCATACTGCCAGGACCCACTTGAGTGTTCCATGATGGCATAGCCGCCGAGGGACACCCGCGTGTATTCTGGCATGTGCGTGGCGTCGCCAGCGTCCCCGTACTGCGCCGCATCATACATCACCGCCACCAACACGGAGGTCCCGTTGACGTCAATGCTCTTGCTCACTGTGTAGCATTCAGAGTCGTCATTAGAGTCGTTCTCGACCGTAAACCCTGGAATCTCGGTCTTGGGATTTCGCGCATGTAAGCCCTGGGCTTCCTTGACCTCGTTCACCAGGGCCAGCACTTGCTCAACCGCGTTGGCCACTTGTAGAGGGTCCGGAACTGGGGGCGCTTCCATGGCTTATGCTTCTGCACGCATGGCACAACAGATACACAGCAAGGGTGACCAAGTGCCGAGCAAGCTGCCCTAGAGCCATGGTCGCTGCGTCATTTGCAGGGCTGTGCTGCAAGCTTGTTCTGCAGCAAGGCTGAAACAGACTGTAAGCCTACACAAGCACAGCAAGGCAGGCTCACCTTGCTGTACGCCCAAGCAAGCAAGGGGGAAGCACGTGGGGACACTACCCTAGGCCAAGCATTCGGGAGCCCACATGGCCGGTGCCCTGGGCAACTTGCCACTTCCTCCTAACTTCGCATATACTTTGTTCGATTTCTACGCAACTTGTCACAGCCTGTGGTCAAGGTGCTGCCGACAGCATCTGGAACTGTTGTTTGACCGGCTGGAGGCAACTCTGCACGTTGAACCTCCTGATCTGCAGCGGCAAAGGGGCGCCGCCGCCGGTTGCAGCGCCACATCAGCGGCGGCCTTCAAAAATGCCTGCTCACGCCCATCGCCCATTGCCGCGAATCGCATGTACCCACTTTGGCGGTGCCCTGCCTGCTGGCATTGACTGCGCTAGCAGCGCGAGAGCCCTCGATCGAAGTCATGGTGTTAGTCCGGAGGAGGGCTGCGCCCGTCAGCTATGCCGAGCCCAAGGGAGTAGATGGGTGAGCGAAGGGGCGCCTGCCGCTCCCAACCAGCGCGACTAGGACGCCTGCCGGCGCCTCACAGCTGCTCGCTACCCGTTTGCAGGCTTGAGGAGGGCTCGGACCAGGAGCAGGAGCAGCAGCAGGAGCCCCGGGTGGCACAGGCGAGGCCACGATCACATGGCCGCCACCGCCAGTGCCGCCGCCTCTGCCGCCACCTGCCCAGGGACTCAACGCTGCCATTGTCCCCTGCAGGCCCGCAAGGCCACCCCCAGCAAGCCCCGCGCGCAGAAGCGCACCGCCCCCGAGGCGGCGGCCGACCTGCAAGAGGCGTCGCTGCTGGGTGAGTGCCTCGGTGTGCCGTCGCCGCCGGCCGCCGCCTGCCGCTGCCGCTGCTCGTGGCGTGCCCCCTGCGCGGTCCCGTCGCTGGCTGTGCGTATCAACCCTGCGGCCGTCCACGCCCGCCACACCCTGGCGATGGATCTTCACCGTCCCGTCCCCGCTGCACCACCTTGGCTGCAGACATTGTGAAGAAGCACGGTGCCTCCATCGCCGTGGCGGCCAAGGATTGGGTGGACCGGTACCGGGAGAGCCGCGGGGCAGCCACCGCCGAGCTGCTCACCTTCCTGCTGCAGGTGCGCTGCCTCGCCTGCTCGCTTGCTTGCGCAGGCAGCCTTGCGCTGGTTGGCCGCGTGTCCGCGTGTCTGCCGCCGCTGCATCTGTCCTGTGGGCCTGGCCGGCCGCTGACCCTGCTGCCCGCCCTCCTGCCTTGCCTGCCTGCCTGCCTGCCACCCACCGGTACCGCCACCGGTGCTGCCTGTTCGCTTGTGGTGCAGGCGTGCGGCGTGGACAGCGTGCTGAGCGAGGAGGATGTGGAGGAGGGGGAGGTGGATGCACTGAAGCAGGAGCTGGACAGGCTGGCGCAGGAGGTGGGTGGGTGCTGCCCGCGCGGGTGTGCCAGGGTGGCAGCGGCGCGGCCGCCGCGAGCGGTTGGCTGGCCGCAGCTGCACGCCGCCACGGCGTGCACCTGGGTCCCAGCCGCTGCCGGAAGCGGGTCGGTCTGCCTCCCCGTCGCGGCAACACGTGGGGCCCGTCTGGTGTGCTGCAGGAGGGGCTGGAGGATCACTGGAGGGGCACCAAGGCCGCCTCCAAGTCCTTCCGAGCCAACTACCTGGAGCTGTGGGACAAGGTGGGGGCAGGGCAGGGCTGGGCAGGGCGGGTGGCGGGCCGCTGGGCGGGTGCTCAGCATAGGGGTGGTGGCAATCGGGCGGACGAAGGTGCGCTAGGGTGGACGAACGCGGGGGTGCCTGGCGGGGGCAGTGCCAGGGAGGGGGCACTGGCTTGTGTAGGGAGAAGGTTGATGGTGTGAGCAGGCGCAGGGCATTGACCGGCGGCTATTGGCTGGCTGGCTGGCGCGGCTGGCGTGCAGGTGGTGCGCGAGGCGGCGGCTGCTGATGTGGCGCTGTGGGACCAGTATCTGCTGGACAAGCTGGCCTCCCTGCTCATAGCGCTCAACACGTGAGGGAGCACTCTGCGGGCGGAGGGGAGCGGGAAGGGCACAGTCGGCTGGGGGCAGGCTGGTGGGGCGACTGGAGGGCTTGCCTGCTCGCCTGTGCCAGCCAGCGCCCCCTGCCCCGCTCCAGCTCCTCTGGCGCCGCCACCCGCCTTGCGATACCGTGCCTGAACCTTCTACCCCCCCGCTCCCGCCCCACCCGCCCACCCACGCGCAGCTCGGTGGTGCGTGAGTTCCGCTGCGTGGCCACGCTGACGGCGGCGCAGCTGGTGACCAGCTGGATCCACGTCAGCCTGGCGCTGGGGGAGGCGCGCGACACGGCGGAGCGCCAGCTGGCCGCGGAGCAGAGGAAGAAGGGGGGCGGCAAGGTGGGGCTTGGGTTAGAGGGGAAGGGGCGCTGGAGGGGGCCGGGCCCTGCAGGTGTCTGCTAGCTGGCTGGATGGGAGGCTGGGAGGCTGGGAGGCAGGCGCACCCCTGGCTCCCCAGCCAGCAGGCGCTGCGAGCGCCACTCCACTTCCTTTGCCGGCTGAACCGCGATTCGCCCCACCTGCCCTGTGCCTGCTGGCGCAGGCGGGCGAGGAGCGCGTGGCCGCCTTCCGCCGCACCCTGGACCGCTGCCACTCTCGCGTGCAGGAGCTGAGGAGCTACACCGACTCATTGTTCCAGGGCATCTTCGCGCACAGGTTCAGGTGGGCGTGATTTGCAGGAGTGGGGCAGGTTTGAAGGCGTGGGGCAAGGCAGTCGGGTGTGGGGACGCAGAAGCTGCTTGCGGCTTGCAAGTTACACGCCCCGCGGGAGCTGCCCGCCCGCCTCCCCAGCACCCCACGCTGCTGCCTGCTGCCCCTGCCCGCCACCTACCCCACCCCAACGGCCGCCACCCCCACCTGCGCGCCCTGCCCTGCAGGGACTGCTCCGAGGAGATTCGTGCCACAGTGATCGAGGGGATCGGCGCCTGGGTGCGCCTCCACCCCGCCGCCTTCCTCACAGACCAGTACCTCAAGTACATCGCCTGGGCGCTCAGCGACAAGGTGCGGCGGCGCGGGCCGCCGCTGCGGTCCGCCTGTGCCTGTCGCTGACGGCCCTTTTGCCTTGCTAACATGTGAACACCACCACCGCTAGCCACCACCACCCCTTCCCCACACTCATCCCCCCCACCCCACACACACCCCGCAGGATGCGGTGGTACGCCTGGCCAGCATCACCGCCCTGCTGTCCCTCTACTCCAACCCCGACAACGGCGCCTCGCTGGCCGACTTCACCCACCGCTTTGCGCAGCGCTTTGGGGAGCTGTTCTACGACGTCTACGAGCGGGTGGCGGTCAGGGGGGTGAGGCGGGTGGCGGGGCGGGTGGGTGGGCGGGTGGGGGAGAGG